GAAATTTCTTTTGAGACATACATAAAGAATAAGTTTATAACTTTGCAAGATGAGATGAATTTTACTAAACTTTGCATTTTTTTTAATTTGTCTTAAATTTAATTCTACTTTAAAATATAAATCTTTGAATGTCAGTTTAATGAATATTCTTAAAAATAATTCAGATAAAAGGGGGGTTAGCTTTCTGTCGTTTTAACATATAATGTTTTAAATTTTCAAACTTTTACTTTTAAATGAGAATTATGAGAGCATTATCATAAATTAATGTTATGTCAAATCAGTTAGTGAATTTCGATAACCATTTAGTTTTTATTTTTAAAGATAAAGATATGAGAAATGACCTCATCATGTTTTATTAATCTAATCACATTAAAAGTAAATAATGTAATGTAATGTAGAATTCAAAAGTTTGAAAAGCTTTGGAGAGCTTTGGGTGCTATAAATTTCAGCGTGAGAGCCACAATGAAGGGAGGCAAAAAAAGATTTCAATGTCTAATTCTCTTCTGTTAGGTAGCTCCCTGCCAGTGCCCAATGTTCAAGAGCTCTCTCGTTCGGATCAGATTCCAGAGAGATACTTCAAGCCGGATGTTGATGCCGCATCGATGGCCTCCATCGATGACGATGAGCTCCCTGTGATTGATCTAATGAAGCTTCTCGATCCGGAGCTCATTGATAGAGAGGAGCTTTTAAGGCTAGGATCGGCATGCAAAGAGTGGGGCTTCTTCCAGGTATTTATGTTTGTAAAACTAAAAATGAGTATTAAAGGTAAGAAAATATGAAGACGGTACTGTTTTTCATGCAAGGAGGCATATTTTTTATTTATAGGCTACTTAGTGATCTCTTTACTCTTCTTTTACTTATCAGTACAATATATTGTAGAAGCTTTGACTCGTTCATATATATATATTTTCATATCATATGCCATAGTCTTGATATATATTTTCATAAATAAAAGGGTGTAGAGATCGATGAGTAACATTTTCTAATAATATATATATACTTGCATACCTCTTTAGTCATTTAAATTCAATTTTGATTTTATTTTTCTGAATATCTTAATCGTTTAATTATTTTTATATTATGCTGATGATCAGATAATCAATCATGGAATTCCAGAAGAAGTGATAGAGAAAATTAAAGATGATATTAAAAAGTTCTTCAAGCTTCCACTCAAAGAAAAAGAAGCGATTAAACAAATACCTGGACATTTTGAAGGTTATGGTCAAATGTTTGTGCACTCAGAAGAACAAAAATTAGATTGGGCAGACATTCTCATTCTCGCCATCCAACCTCTTCAAAATAGGGACATGAGATTTTGGCCTACTAATCCCTCTACATTCAGGTACTTCTAAATATATATATAGCAAAATTTTTCTTATCTGATCATATATATAAATTAATTAGTAAATTGTGATCACGAATGAAATTTTTTAGAAAATAGTCTTACTATCAAAGTGCCTCATTAATTTATACCAGTATATATATTATCATAAAATTTGTCATCCTAATTAATTGCATAAAAAAATTTGCAATTTATTCAAAATAAAATTAGTGAGGTAAAATAACTATATTTCATGATTTCAATTCTTCCTTATTTTGCAAATGAATTTATATTATGTTGTTAATATACTTAACTTTCTTATTTATAATTTTATTTACTTACAAAATTTATGCACGTACACATATATATATTACAGGGATACACTTGAAACATACACATCGAAGGTTGCCAGAGTTGTTGATTGTCTTTATGGATTGATGGCTAAGGATTTGGGGGTTGATACTGAAGAAATGCTTAATATTTCTAGTAGCGGCCAGCTACAAACTGTAAGGATAAATTTCTATCCACCATGCAAACAAGCTAGTAAGGTGTTAGGTCTCTCCCCTCATAGTGATGCTAATGCATTAACGGTGCTCCTGCAAGCAAATGATGTCCAGGGTTTGCAGATAAGGAAAAATGGCAAGTGGTTCCTCATAAAACCAAAGCCAGGAGCATTGATCATCAACATTGGTGATGTAATGGAGGTACATAATTATTAAGATGGCTCATAGCTTTGAAGTCACCTTCCTATTTTTATAGCTCTTCTTGAACAACAGTTACAATACCGCTTAGACCGACCATCTTGATAATCATTTTCTCAACAGATACTGACTAATGGAAGGTATAAGAGCATAGAGCACAGGGCTATCATAAACATGGAGGAGGAGCGACTATCAATAGCTACATTTCATTTACCTCGTGATGACGTTGTGTTACGTCCTTTTCCGGAGCTTATTGGTAGTGATGGGGAACTTTATAAAGTCATAACCGTCAAAGAATATATAAGAGAATTCTTTTCAGAAAAACTGAATGGGAAGAATGCATTGGAGAGCGTGAAGCTAAGAAAATGACTGTGCGAAAATACCTACAATAAATCTGTGATAAAAAATGTTGCATATGATATGTTATTATTATTATATATTATGATGAAAGTTGAGACAGATAATGCAACACTGGCTTGTATTTTGTAATATGCCGAGTGCTTTGCTTTACAGTATAAATAAAGAACTTCTATGAGCTACTTATATACTTGGTTGTTATTATTATTTGAAGGAATATATCATATCAAATACTATGTTACATGACTGTTATTGCTATCCACTCTTGACATAAAAAAAGCCATATTCAAATGAGAATATTGATCTTAGAAAATAGATCGATCATATAAATCTGTAATGTATTTTCCTTCTGTGTGTAAGATGTACAGAACACAGTCAAGTTCCTCAAGCAGGATATTCCTTACTTTCTTCTTTAATTAGATGTCTCAAATACTAATTCATTCAATGAATTTCTCAAATTTCAATGTAAATTTAATATTTTTTTAGTTTAAAATGCATGTATGTTGTTTGAATTTCTAAATGAACAAAAATATAGTAAAGTTATATTACTATATATATTTACTATAACTTTACTGCTGGCAATATTAAAGTTGGTCTAAAAGAAGTACTACAATATTGAAAGCAACCTCACTACTATCAACCAACATCCTTTGCTACATCAATTTTATGGGAAGCAGATACGGACTAAGGGAAACCTTGGTTGCAATCTCAAATACGATTATGCATAGTAAGTTCCTCCAGTACTTTAGTGTACCACAACGATACCTAATTATTTCTTGGTGTGCCTTGGGAAATTCAAGTAGGTCTAACGACACAATTTGAACTTTCAATTGGTATTAGAACATACAAAATAGTTTAAATATTTAGTATTAAGTTGTGCAAGATCTCTATCATCGTTGCTCCATTCACTAATAGGGTTTTAAACCTTAATACAATTAACAAATATAAACGTTTCAAAATAACCCTCTTGTATCATATGCCACATGTGAAAATAAACTGATTGTACAAATGTAGAGATGCAGATTTTTCAAAAATCAAATGGAATATTATCGAATAACAGCATACGAGTTATTGAATAACCCTCTGCAATATTCCTATTTTCAAAATGTGCTATTTGATCTTTTCTCAGGAATTTGTAAATCACTAATTCTGTGACCCGCTTGAATTTCCCATGGCACACCAACAAGTATATTTTAGGTATCATTGGGGTGCAGTAAAGTACTGTAGGGACTTACTAATCATAATTGGTTTGCATTCTTCAATTACTTGAAATATATTTTGTTTGGAAGCTTGAGGATAAAATATATGCTACAAAATTTTATCTCTCTCTATAGAAAATCAGCAATCAAGCTTTAATTATTTATAAAACCGAGAACATAGGGAAGGAAACCTTCCATCATCAATAGCAGATGCATACAGAAATATATTAGGAAGGTAAAACAATATGTTTTATACTATATATAGCTCAATAAATAGTGCTTCTATGCTCCTTCAGAAAATCTTTGCTCAATTTGTTCCCTATGAAAAACACCCATGGACCCCATTAGAAGAATGGCGACAGCGAATTCGACGGTGATGACAAATTCAACATTGGGATGGGCGGAATCGATCATGGATGCTCGCCAAATGAAGCTCTAGGACGGGCGGTCAATGAAGCTGTAGAAGCAAGCATGAGTCGATTACGAAATGGGTTGATTTGGGCAGAGTAGGGGAAAAAATATGCGAGGCTTTAGCAGCGATGATAATCGCTACCTATATCAATCTATAGCACCGCTTGCAAACCTCTGCTATGAACTGCTGTAGAAATAGTCAGGCTTTTTATAATGCAGATCAGATATTTAATTAAAATTATAGAAACTATAAAATATTCAAAATTTTGCTTCAAAAAATGATTTATAATAATTCAATACAATCATGTTCTACATATAAAAAAAAAATTAACAAAAATATCTTAAATAGAAAACTCTCTATGCTAAGCCATTTCCTTTCTCTGAAGTGCTGAAAGTCAACAGATTGAGTATTTGCAACTTAGTAAGAATACCGAATTCCTATTGCAGAATTCAATATCAATATTTGCTATTTATGAATAAAAGGGTTTAAATATCAATTTCAAGCAAATATAAATATATATATAAAAGCAGCCGAATATGATTTGGGCAGAGTAGGGAAAATAATATGCGAGTCTTTAGCACAGCGATGATAATCGCTACCTATATCAATCTATAGCGCCGCTTGCAAACCTCTGCTATGAACTGCTATAGAAATAGTCAAGCTTTTTTATAATGCAGATCAGATATTTAATTAAAATTATAGAAACTATACAATATTCAAAATTTTGCTTCAAAAAATGATTTATAATAATTCAATACAATCATGTTCTACATATAAAAAAAAAATTACAAAAATATCTTAAATAGAAAACTCTCTATGCTAAGCCATTTCCTTTCTCTGAAGTGCTGAAAGTCAACAGATTGAGTATTTACAACTTAGTAAGAATACCGAATTCCTATTGCAGAATTCAATATCAATATTTGCTATTTATGAATAAAAGGGTTTAAATATCAATTTCAAGCAAATATAAATATATATATAAAAGCAGCCGAATAACTCATGGACTTATGTAAAAAGAAGATAAATTAAGAGCAATCTTTCAAGGCTATGAACCATTTTTAATAAATTACCTCCATGACATCACCAATGTTGAATATTAAAGTTTCTAGTTTTGATGTTACAGTAAATCACTTATTATTTTATTTAGTGTTGCAAATCATGAATATTATTTGCCTGGAGAAGCAATGTTAACGCAATTCCATCACTATGTGGAAAGAGATCCAACACATTATTAGCTTCAATATGCATGTCTCGAGTGCATTAGGTCCCTATAATGAATTAGTAGTCGGTATTAACTACTGTCCATCATTTCCTTAGCTTCATACTCTCCAAGGCATTCTTTCCATTTAGTTTTCCTGCAAAATATTCTCTTGTATACTCTTTGGCGCTTATAGTCTTATAAAGCTCACCATTGCTATTAACAAGCCCGGGAAAAGGACGCAACAAAACGTCAATGCTTGGCAAATGAAATGTCGCTATTGATAGTCGTTCCTCTATGTTTATAATAGCTCTGTGCTCTATGCTTTTATACTTTCCATTAGTCATTATCTGTTGAAAAAACAAATCGAAAAGCACATAAATAATAGATATACATATATATTTTATGCACACTCATCAAATGATATGGTAGAGATGATATTCTTGAGTTTCTGATATCAAAGTGTCAAATATGATGGTCAACAAAACATAATAACCTTTTAGAAGTATTTGTGATTCATAGATGAAAACATGATATGCATTTAAGATAAATGTAAGATTTTATCATCAAATGATTCAAAACAAAATAAAAATAGAAATTATTTAAGAGAGTTTCACTAAAAATAAAAAAATCCCTTTGTAATTCAATTTGGCTTCTAATATATAGTCCTCATTATGTATGTCTTCTAGCATAGTTAGAGTGGCTCAGGCTCAAGACATGTTAATGATGGACTATGAGATGTGTTAAGTGTTTTTCAATCAAAGTCTAATCATTTTATAATAAAAATAAAACAAGCCGCATCAAATGACATCGTGGACATGGTATTCTAGACTGTTCAGACATCTTAGGTTTTGTTTGGGACAGCTTTTGACCACCATTTTTTGGTTATTTTCAACAAATTTTTTAACAAAAAAGCTACTGTTGAAAGTAATAAAAAAGCTATCCTAAACTAAGCCTTAGTGTCAAAAATGATGCTCAACACGGCATGATAATCTTTTAGAAGCATCTATATCTTTATGGATGAAAACATGGCAAGTATGAATGCCTACATGCAAAATATTATCATATCATGGTTCCCATTTTTCTTTTAATTTATGCGTCAGGAAAATATGAGAAACCAAACAAGTTAAAAAGAAAATTAGGATTATTACTTTACAACTATAAAGCAAATATTTGAATTACCTCCATCATATCACCAATGTTGATTATTAATGCACTTGGTTTTGGTTTTACAAGTAACCATTTGTCATTTTTCTTTATCTGCAAAGCGTGGACATCATTAGCTTGTAGGAGCACTGTCAATGCAATACCATCACTGTGTGGGGAGAGACCCAGGACCTTATTAGCTTGCTTGCATGGCGGATAGTAATTTATTCTTACAGATTGTATCTGATCCCTAAAAATATTAAGCATGTCTTGAAGATCAACCCCTAAATCCTCAGCCATCAATCCATAAAGACAATCAACAACTTTGCCAATCTTTAATGTGTATGTGTCTAGTGTATCCCTATAATGAAAAGGCACACACTGTAAGATAGTTAGGAATACACAAAATTTCATCATAAAGAAGTTAAACTAAATGCATTGAAAATATAATTGAACTTCCTTTGCTAATTAATTTGGGTTATTTTGATTTATTGCAAAATTATGAAGAAAAGAAATTATGAAATGCAGTTATTTCACCTCTTAACTTCTTTGTTTAAAGAGGATAGAGGATATACCATTTAATTGAAAGGTTGGTAGTAGTCATGCACATATAAGTGTGTTAGCAATCTTTAAAATAAAATAGTAATATATATATATATATATATATATATATATATATATATATATGTTAGTGATGTAAATTTTATTTTTTTCTAATGTATTTTTTATGAATAAAATTATTATTATTCTGTGAAAATATCTACATAAATGATCAAGAAGCATGGATAGTTTTATTAAATTTTATGATAATTTAAGTATAAAATAAGAAATTATTTTACATAGTTTATAGA